CGACACTGAGTGGATTGTGGTTAAATCCAATAGCACAGGCAGGGCGAGGGGGGGGGGGCACAAGGGGGAGGGGGCACGTCCCTCCTCACTTTCCTACGGGCCCTTCGGGCTGCTCGGGATCTATGATAAATTACCCGATTCGGGTGCCCGAAGAGCCCAAATGCCCGGCCGGAGGTCGCATTCAGGGCCCCCGACCACGGCGTCGAGCACTCCAATGCTGGCCAGAGGGCCCTGCGTGCTGATCATGGGACCACTGAGTCGATAAGGGCCTATATGTCTGTCAGACACCACCAGCAACGCACGGTATATGGTGACGGTGATTTACCGGTGATTTACAGTAGCTACGCGATTTATACAGGCGGCACGGGTCTGAGGGTCCATTTCCCAAGCAGGGACAAAGCCGGAGTCAGCAATTTACACTGTCTGAGGTCCCAGTATCTGTCAGGGGCCTACAGCGCCTAAAAGAGGGTCCTGGGTTCTCAAGGATCCCCAAGCCGACCAAGGGAGACCAATGAGATTGACCAATTGACCAAGAGACCAATTCAATGAGACCCGAAGAGCTGCCCGGGCGGCCAACGGTAACGACTATCAAAGGCCTGGTTAGAGGGCATAAGGGCCAGAATGACTGGCTATAGGTCACAGAAAGACGAAAACCACTGAGACAATGCGGGTGTCTATGTCGGTCAGAGACCACGAGCACCAAACAGTTGGCTCCTTGTCAGTCTGACTGAACCCTGGGGGCGCCTCTCCAAAGCAGGGGCAAGACTGGAGGGCACGATTTGCAGTGCTCTGGGTACCTGAGACAGTGGTCGGGGCCCCTGTGTCAGTCAGGGGCCCACAGTATATAACCGGGATCATGTGTTTGCTAGTGGCCCCTAGTCGGTCACGAGCGTTGTTTGAGAAGGTCCGAAGGGGGCCGGAAAGCACATCGGGGCCAAAGATTAAGGGCCCGATTGGGCTCAGATCGCGCCCTCACCCGAAGTGCCGTAGCCTGAACATCAGACAGAGGGCTTCTTATGGGACCCTCGTATTAGGGTTTTCTATCCCTACTATATAGAGCCTCGACACGGCACCAAACAATCGGTGTCATTTCCGTCTGAACCCTGAAGACCCATTTCACAAGCAGGAACGGGGTTAAGGCCCGCGATTTGTCATGTTCGGTGTCCCTGCCACAATGAAGAGCTCATGTGTCGTTCAGGGGCCACAGCGCCTATTAGGGTATGGGTCGGCAAGTGGCCCCGAGTTGGCCAGGAGCGGTGTTGAGGGAGCCCGAAGAGCGGCCGAAGGGTCTCTTGAGACCGAAGATCAAAGGCACCATTGGAAGGATAAATGACACAAAGGGCTGCCTTTAGGTTATATTAAGACCATCGCCCGTAGGGCCGTGATCTGAAATGTCAGTCAGAGGGCCTCTTGCACCGATTGGGAGCTTCCGAGACAGCCCGTTTCTCTGTTTCGGCCAGACGTCCCCAATACCGAGCAGTCGGCTCCGTGTCGGTCTGAGCTTTGGAGGCCCATTTTCCGAGCAGGGACACGACCGGGTCGCGATTTACACTGTTCGGGGCCCCTGCAACAATACAGGGCTCGATATCGTTCAGGGCCCGAAGTGCCTAAAGGGTATTCTGTGTCAACAAGGCGCCTCAAGTTAGGTGAAAATATGCTCAACAGGGACCGAGGCGGGACCCCGAATGACAGAGAGCCTCTTCCGTTGGTCGTGGTCCTGTGATAATGTAAGGAAAGATGGAAACTTTTAAAGACGACGAGAGAGTCCCGTGTCAATCAGGGTCCCCAGTACCGGACCGCGTGCCCTCCATCCCACTTCCAGCTTGGGCTCATTAATCCAAACTGGAGTCTGTGTGCTAATTATTGCACCACCTGCAGATCAGGGATTTTGTTGGGTCAGTGAGGGTCACTGCGTTGGTCCAGGGTCGACTGCGCGGGTCAGAGGGTATCCCGCGTTAGAAAAGGGGCAAACATGATATGATGTATCCCTCTATGTGTTTCCGCATCGGCCAGTGGATCCCACCCCGTGTCGCCAGAATAGCAGCCGGAAGACATCCCTCGGTTGGACGGAATGGCCTTCAGCCCTTCACCGGGAACAATACTGCGCCCCGTAGTGTTCACTCAAGGGGCCCCCTTCCCCAGAAAGAAGGAATGGGTGTCAGTATTGTTAAATTGAGTCCGTCAAAATGAGTTAAAAACGAACAAGGCCATCACATATTTGTCTGATAACTTGTATTCCCTCGCGGAATCGACAAGAGAAAAAAGGCATCAAAAGCTTTGAGCCTAAGCACTCGCAATCTCGGGAGCAAGGGCAGCGATGGCCTGGCTTGCAGTTTCCGTAAAACCGGACAGCACTGGCTACCGCAAGTATACCAGGCGGCGGGCGCCGTGCGCGTAAGAACGACCGTCATAAAATAGTGCTTCCGAATGTCTTCAAAAATTAATTCGTAGAAATTAATTTTAAAGATTAATTTTGGGGATTAGTTAATCAATTTCAAAATTTATCAATCAATTCCAAAAAAGATGCGACTAGGTGTCTTTTTGCAACTTTGAGTTTGTAATCTGGGCAGATTAACAATCACAGCAGCACGAAAAACAAAGATTCTACCTTTACTCTTCCAGTTCCACCACCAGATTCCAGCACTACTTCCCGTAAAGGTCAACCCGTTCTTATCATTAATCTAAGAATCGCACACGCAAACAATGCCCCGGACTACCCTTTGAATATCTGATTTGATGTTCTCAACTGTTCAATGACGCTTCTTTCAAATGCGTTATCATTGTCGTCAAGCGTTGGTCAAAACACAGTGTTGCTCACGGGGCCAACATCGCGCGGCCCAGGCAGACTGCAACGCCTGGAAAAGAGGTGTTTGTTGTCAAGAGTTCCGAGCGAGCGTGCTCAATACTACGTTGCACAAGCTGCATCACTTATCAATTCGGACTGAATGCTGAATATTTCCAGAAAAATGGTTTAGCCATGTTAATGCAAATTGTTGACGCATTTCGATCTACACTGGCGGGGTCGTGAATATCCCTGTACATCCCAGGTCAAGATTCGGACAATTATTCTGAGCTTTATCGGCCTATAAAGAGCCCACTGGACCACTGTGAAAAGAAGAGTGCCATTGATTTATCTCATGCAGTCGCTTAACACATGATTTCTTCTATTTTTTTCTTATAACATTCAAGCAGAAGAGATTTCGCGGTGACTTCTGGCTTCTTTTTCAGTTGAATAGCGCAAAAATTCTGGAAACCATGAAAAACATGCACTTATTAAAAGTGGGCCATATCTGGTGATAAATTTCTGGGGGGGGGGGGGGCCTTTTACTATCAGGGGTCGTTTGTCAGCCTTGTGCCTCCCCATGCCAAGGCTCTGGCTGCGCGCATGGTTGAATTCGTCGAAAATAGAGTCAGCTCACAACTTTAGGCGGCACTTAGTGCCGTTTTATTATGAAATTTAATACTTTTTGGAAATGATACTGATCAATGAAAGAGAGTAGTAATTTCCACTCAAGCCGGGCGAACGGTATCAAACTGCCCTCTGATGGTGGATCATGGTAGCTTTAGTTCTTCGTTTGGGTATCGCCACCAGGGGAGCAAGTTCCCAGGTCAGTCATCTTGAGTTTGAATAGGTGTCTTTCTTTCTCATACAATGAGATTTGTGAAATCGGAGCTGAAAGCATTTTAAATGTGTTCCTATCTCCTGAAGGATGAGAAAATCTGACTCTTCTTCGACTTTGTGGTGGCATGTGTAATACAGGCAAGCCACGGCTGACAAAGGCGAGTAACAGGCTATCAATCATATCATCGGATCTATTCACCCCCTTATCGACCAAGTTATCCTCGCTCGTGCTTCATCCTGCATACCCGTGACACTCCGCCCATCCGGGGCAGGCTGCATACAGCAGCCAGAGCATGCCTAGTGTCCCCTGGTGGGGCGGGCGTGCTAGCGCTGAGCACACACCCTCTAAAGGGTTTCTTGTGCGGGCTAAGTCTCAGCCTATGTGCCCCTAGGTGTGTATAGTCCTGCACCACCATTATCGACTCTCCTTTACCCCATAACCCTGAGATGGTGATGACAGGCTGAAAGATCTCGAATCCAACTAAAAACAACAAGCGCCCTCTCATTTCTTTCGCATAAAACTTCGACCTTATGTAAGCCCCCGCAGGTTATCACACCCCTGTCAGCCGCTGGCGAAGCCTGTGTTCACGCCGCTCCAGTTCTGGGCACGGGTTGAGCGCCCGCACGACCCCCATAAGGAGGGGTGCGCTGAGGGATCAGAGACACGGAAGGTATCCCAGGTGAACTTGCTGCCAGTTTATGAGACGTCCGAAGAGCGTCCGAAGGACACCTAACTCCGCGTTACTCGCCACAGCACGCCGAAACATTCATAAGACACCACCACCATAACGCCGAAGGCGACACCACAAAGACCTGTTCCCTGTACCTACTTCTTCCCAGAGGAGATCCAAATGAACGCTCCTGGCGGATGTGAGCCACACCACGTCAGATCCCTTGTCAACGAAAGTGCGATATGTACGCACGACTATCTCTATCATTATCCAAATTTAAAGATAGATTCAAATTTTGTGCGTACTTATTGGCAGATTAGAAAGTTAGGATCAGTTTACGGTCACATCTTCACAGCCGTTTCACATGCAATCTATCGTATTTGACGGATACCAGAATGACAAAATTGGAAATGTCAGTTGTCGCATTACTATCAATAAGCTCGTTAACTAAACTGAGTTATTCCGTTCGTTTGGGATGCCATTACCCAGTGATGCCATGGCTAGGCAACCTTGTGATTGATTCGTAGTGGGGCTGTTAGGACAGCTGCCTGGTTTTGTCAACCCACATGACCTGCGTGCCCCATTAAACGGTTAATAAGAGTAGCCTCGTAGCCACTTCAATCGTAAAATGTGTCATTACTTATGAGTCAGGGGACTTATCCAGACCAAACAGCACCAGAGCGGCATGTTCTGCTGAAAAATCCCAACACGAGGCGATAATATGTATTTGTTTCATTTGCTCACATTCAAACAGCTCATTCAATGGACCACCGCTAACCGTCGACGCAAAAGTGATTACAGGGCAGCCTCGTGCGTGGACAAGGCACTTCGTCTGTACGAGTTCAGCAGACAGTGATACATGCGTGGGAAGGCACGAGGTGCGGCGTGGGCCCGGGCTGTCACGCGGTCACACCGTCACACGTCACATGTCACACGGTGCGAACGCGACAGGGTCCCGGGGAAGGGTGCAGCGAGAGATTAACGGAGCAGAGACAGCACGGCTGAAGAGATCCCGGGCGCAGCGGGCCCCGATGCCCCAGCCGATGCTGCACTCCACGAGTGTCCGATTCAAGCGGCATCGCTTCAGCTTGCTTCGGTGGGATTGACAAGCAGAGGCGCTGCTCCAACAATCTCGCAGACTGAGGGACACTGCGGTCGTTCACGCCGATCCCAAAGAAGAGACGTGCACACAGTGCAACAATGACGCCCGCTACGGACAAACTTGTGAGCCGGAAAACAACAACACTGAGCTGACCCACTCAGCTCGAACAACGATGAACACGCAGCTTCGCACAGCTCGGGGTGCGAACATGGTAAACACATGTCCAACATGGCAGAGTGCGCGGCGGGATGCAGTCAATGCAATCACCGCACCCGACACCGAGCGAGAGGCAGCACATGACACTGGCACCGCTGCGGTAACAGCCAAGGCGGAGGTTCGCGCCGCGGCTCCGAAACGAGTTTCGTCGGCGGCCAGCCGACCTGCGCCGTTCTCGGAGCTCCCGCACGCGCGCCGTCGTGAGGGGTTGAGCTTCTGCAGTGTCCCGCGGCGACCGCGTCGCTCCACTAGATGAGCTCGTAAAAAGCGACCGTTTCGCACATGAAACGCGCGCACTGAGTCCGGGCTCGTTCGGGCGAGTGCTCAAAAGTCGCGATGCACAAATAATTACAAAAATGGAAAAGGACGATGATAAAAATATGTCGCAATCTGATCAGTATGCATGGTCTTGACTACACACGAACCGACTAGTCACAAATGATAAGCCTTTTAAGATCACTTTTCAAGGGTTTGCTCCGCCATCTCCTCTCGATACCTTCAGCCGACGGCTTGAGTCTCGCTTCCGTCCCCTGACCAAACCCTTCTCAGGCGACGCCAGCGGCGTGCTGCGGCGAAAGCGCGAACTAATGGTTCAGGTACTCATCGCAGGTGGCGCCGCCTGAGAGCGATTCCCATTCGCGCGACGCATCTTTGGATTGACACACGAATGCCGGTTGGGGCTTCACTCGTCGTCCGACTTATCCGGCTTGAAGTCCACCATGGCGTGCATCTCTTCCGGCGTACGCCTGTGGCGGGGGCAGCAAGGCGAGAGATCAGCTGATGGGACCGGACCGTACCTGCGCCGACGACTGAACAGACAGCGCACCCATGCAGGAAACGGGGACGAGTGGGCGGCAGTGAACGGGGCGAGTCGGGGATCTACCAACAGCCAGGTGGGGTGAGTAATTAGACCTGCACAGTCAAAGAGTCATCGGTAATCAGAAAACCACGAGTCAAAGGATCAGTATAAAATATCTATATGCTCGTCAAACCTAGGCGCAATGACCTGCTATATTTCCAAGGTGAATTGATGCCTACCATACCAGCGAGACACAGCTGAACAACATTTTTCCACAGTACCTCGAAGCCACTCACCCCAGTAAGCTCTGCAGGTCGCAGACGAACCGGTAGACATAGCGCTTGCCGGCGGTTTTGTGAATTATGTTTTTGTCGTAGTAGTATCGTAGACCACGACTGAGCTTTTCGTAGTTCATTTTTGGCTTGTTTTTCCTGGTTCCCCACCGTCGTGCAACCTGTCATGGAGGGATTTACATTTTACGTCGTTGGAACGTCTTGAAGCACAAGTACTCAAATTAACGGTATAATATGCGATCGAAGTGAACGCACCACGCTATTCATTAAACATGCTCGCACATATTATGCATTGTGAGACATTTACAAAAAGCAATGCAGTATAGCCGCATGTGAGTTCCACGCAAACTCCCAATGGCAAGCAACTCAAAGTCGTGTACAACCGCTGACGTCACAAGTTCCGTCACACCACGGCGACCAGAGACAGTAAGACCTCCCACGTCGGGAATCGAACACAGACCCCTTTCTTCCCACATCCCAGCGCTCTCACCACCCGACCACCGCCACCCGCGCTGCCTCACCTCGTCCGGGTCTGTGAGCTTGAACTCCCAGCCGTCGCCGGTCCACACGATGAACGTCTGGCACGTCTTGTCCGTCAGCTGCTCCAGCAGGAACTGCCACAGCTGGATGGGCCCGGAGCCGGTGAAGCAGGGTCCGCCGGCGGCCGGGTACGACCCCCTGGCGTCGGCCTGCAGCGGCGAGTCGCGCGGGTGCCGCGGTGGAAGGTAGGCCGGGTGCGGCGCGCCATGCATCAGCTCCGGGTGCCACGCCTCCGGCGGCGCCTGCGGCACCGTCTGGTAGTGCGGGTCGTAGCCGCCGGCGTAGTGCTCGTAGCCGTCGTAGCGCGACGCGGGCGGGTAGAGTTTGTGTGGCGGCCGATACTTGAGCTCGTTGGGGTAGAACTCGGGCGAGCCGGACTGGTCGTAGGGCGGGTGGTGCGGCTCGGCCACGTGCGTGTAGTCGGGCTCGTAATGCTGCGGCACGTACGCGGCCGAGTCGTCGGCCAGCCCCGGCATCGGCTCACCCATCGGCGCACCGTACGCACCTGCGGACCGAGGGTCAGGCGAGGTCAGACGAGCCGGTCGGGTCAGGTCACGGCCCAGGTAACGCCTCGGTACAGGACCATCGACATATCGGTGGACCGCATCACAAGCTGGCGACGGAGGGCGCCGCGAGAAGCCATTGCGGTCTACAGTGTCTATCTACAGTTTATATTTACACTGTCTATCTACAGTGTCTATCTACAGTGTCTATCTACAGTGTCTATCTACAGTGTCTATCTACAGTGTCTATCTACAGTGTCTATATACGGTGTATATATACAGTGTCTATCTACAGTGTCTATCTACAGTGTACAGTATCTATGGCGTCTATATTACAGATGCATAATATTTATCACATGTCTATCGGAGCAGGTCTAGCTGAGGCCGTCAGCGGTGAACAGCACAGCACCTCGTGATATCAGGCCCCGCCGCGCTGGGGCCAGCGTGCTAGGGCTCGCAGACGGGCCCAGCATTCGCCCACAGCCGGAGCGTCACGCGGTGGCCGAGCTGCCGGCCCCGCCCCGCGACGGGTGCACTGGAGCGACGCACGAGGTCACGAGACTGGACCGAGCCCCCCCCCCCGCGCCGAGAGCGGAACAGAGGTGCGGTGACTGGCCGGTGGACCGGCAGGGTCGGGCGGCGAACATCAGACGACAGGCCGCGGTCCGTCCCTCGCTCTGGTTAAACAGGGACACCAGCCGAGAGGGAGGGGTATGGTGTTTTTTTTAATGCAGCGTGGAAGAGGAGCTCAAACGTGTGCTGTGGCTCCAACAGGGGCCAGTAGCTGGGGGTCTCGAGATTTTTTATTGCGTCGCGTTTCACAGAACACGATAGGTAATGTTGAATCTTGCAGAAGTGTGCGGTGGGAAGAGGGTGGGGGGCAATGATTATTTCTGTCCCCGCTCTTTGGCCGAGTCCACGGATCCGGTGAGGGTTCTTCCTGGTTGGGGATGGAGTGAGATGCCAGCTTGGGGCACGGTTCGTCGTGTCTCCGGGTTCAGTACAGCGCATGCGCTGACTCTCCCACCGATCCCGGCAGCGTCCCCTCAGCCCGGCCGGGCTCACCACGACCGAAGCTGACACCGAGCTGACCGCAGCTCACAGTTGGTGACCCCCGCACCAGCCGCAGCCGGCTGGTGCCGCCCGAGCTGCCCGAAGCCCCGGACAGGGGACAGCGACGCTGCCGCCGGGGGGCGTTGCATTCCTGGCCGGGGCCCTGGCAGCGCGCCGCGCCTCGCCCGCCCCCCGCCGGCCAACAGCAACAAACAGCGAGTGACCCGGCCGGGCGTCACCCAGCTGCCGTCCATTCATTCCGCCGGCTGGGGCGCGGGGGGGGGGGGGGGCTGTGGCCACGGGACGCGGCCGAGACGCTGCCACGCGCCAGGCCCAGCCTGCTCGCTCAGGGGCCGCGTCGCTCCCGGCCGGGATCGGGTGTCGCCCGGGATTTAAACCCCGCGACGAACGCGCGTCGGCTGCCGGGAAGAGCACAGCCTGCCAGGGGCGCCGCCAGGCCCCGTCCACGGGGAGGAACAGGATCGCAACTAGGCGAGTGCGGGTAAAAAAAACCCAGCCAGAAAGGCGGAGGAGAGCGAGGGACCGCACGTCATCCTCTCCAACCGTGGCAGAGTGAACCTATCTCGATCTGACGCCCGACCCTGGAGGCAGTCAGTCCCGCGCCGCCACCCGCCCCTCGGCCACCCCCCTTGATTCTGGGCGCGTCGCCGTCCCTGTCCAGCGCCAGGGCGACGACGGACCAGGTGCGACCGAGCGTCCCCGTCGCCATCGGCAGCAGATCGTCCTCGCCGGCCGACAGCCGCAGGGGACAGACGCCGGCTGCCGCGCCACGTCTGTGGAACGTCTCCGGAGTCTGAGGCGGCGTTCAGCGCCACGGGAATGGCCAGAGACGATAGTGTCAGCGCATGCAGGTGCTGGAAATGTGCGCATGTCGCCGGACAGCAAAGACATGAACGATGCAGAGCATTATGAGAAGAAGAACAGACGAACGGCCGACAATTCGTGTGCTCCGGTTGGGGGCTCATAGCAGGAGGACAACGGCGGAGCGGTTCACATGCTCCGACAGGGTCGTTTCTATCAGTAGGCTCGCCGTGCGGAACGCGTGGTCTCGGAACCTCTGACGGTGTTGCCATGCCATCCGTGGGAAAATTTATCCAGCGCTTTGGTAATGTTTCATACACAGCTGCGATTCGCTGCAGTGTGCTCCGACGATGCTGAACGACAGACGATTTTAAAGCTGCGAGCCATGCCAAAGATGGATTGCAGCGACCTCTGCCTCCCATCTGACATTTGAAGAGCTGGAGCCAGCAACTAACGCCATCCAGCATTCAGCCACGTGACATCACTGTTGTTATGCCGACAAAAACCGCACCCCTCTTTCGTGCACAAACCCAACACGTGAAGCCCCCCTCGGCGATGCCCGGTGTCGACTCATGCGACCGGCAGACCGCGACACAAACAGGTGGACACTGACGTCCCCATCAGCTGCTTCCGCCCGCCGGCTTGTTGTTGTCAACAGGGTGGGAATTCAACAGGCCATCCATCCCCTCTCCAGCGGCGTTTTCCGTTATTTTAATTCACGCTTTTCTTCTTTCATTCCACACCAAGGTTTACAAACACACACCGCACCAGCAGACGGAAAGAGAGACAACCACTCAAACCTGCAAACACCCGATCCCCCTCGCGGCCTGTGGAAAGAGGGCCTGGATCAGCCAGTCATCCCGAGCGGACCCCGAGGTACCCGTCCTCAGCAGCCCCGCCCCCCCCCCCCCCCCTAGCGTCAACAGAGCGCCCAGAGCCAGGCCTGCTGCGCCGCGCCAGCGCAGCGGAGGCCGGGCCGCGGGCGTCCTGCCGACTGGGGCGCCGGCGGCCGGCGCGTTTGATGTGGTGACCACACCGCGCCGGGCCGCACACCGCACTTACGCAAACCCATTACAGGGTCCGCCACAGCCGGGGCCGAGGCGCGCCCCCGCGGGGAGCAGGCGTCCGATTCGCGGAGCTCGGCCGAGCCGGGATATATCGGCTGTAGAACGACGCGGCGTGACGCAACCCTGCAGCTTTGCGCTGTGGAAACGTGTGTGTCCGCCCATTGTTTCACCGCGCGGAGCAAATAACACGGCCGGCGCGTCGGCCGTGTGTGCGTCCGTGAGCGGGAGGGGAGGCGAGTGACGTGGGAACGTGGTGACGTGACGCTCGCTGACGTGCGTCATCACGTGCGTCATCTGAGAGGTCCCGCCGGTCAGGAACTTTCAGCACGGTTCGGGGCGGTGTCGCTGACGGTCGTGACACTGACACCCGTCAGCAGCCAGCGCGACGGACCAATCGGCCCGGTGCAGCGACGGACCGCTTGGCCCGCACGGTCGGGCCACCCGCGCTCTGCTGCGGATCAGAGGCGCCGCCCGGCGGCGCGTCTGAAGTGCGGCCTTCGTGAGCCGCACCGCGACCACCGGCCGAGTGTTGACCTCAGCAAACAGCGCCGCGCGGCGGCGGCGGCGGCGGCGGCGGGACCCGTCCCGCTACAGTGGCGAGACTCGCCCTACTCCAGCGGCGTCGGGACCTGTCTTGCTACAGCGGCAGATCCCGTCCTCCCAGCAGCGGCGGGTCCCGTCCTCCCCCCGGCAGCGGAGGGACTCGTCCTGCTTCAGCGGCGTCGGGACTCGTCCTGCTTCAGCGGCAGATCCCGTCCTCCCAGCAGCGGCGGGTCCCGTCCTCCCAGCAGCGGCGGGTCCCGTCCTCCCCTCGGCAGCGGCGGGACCCGTCCTGCTTCAGCGGCGCGGGACCCGTCCCGCTTCGGCGGTGTGTTCCGTCCTCCCAGCCAATGGGCCGCCGTCCACAATGTGAACAGCGGCCGGTGAGGGCAGAGAAGCAGTGCCAGCGGGCACGAGCTGATCGGTGGCGCCCCACTGGCGGAGGCAGCCGATTTGCCGGCCCCGGATGTTCAGGGGCTGGTAGAATCAGTTTCCAAGTGACTGTCAAATGAAAGCATGATAACGAATGAAACAATTATGCAAGCTACACAGCATGATACTCCTGTTCCTTTCTGTCTAATTGTCAGGGCACAATGCAGAACGTGCAGAACGGCCTGAGAAAGACAACTCTGCTCTGACTTTTGTCTTCTGATAGACAGTTTTTTCAAATTGTCATTGCTCTAGCCATCATTCATTTCAAGTGATCCGCCGAGGCCACGGCCGGGCAGCGACCGGAAGGCACAGGACCGTGACACCGCGCTGCCCTGGTGTGCGGCATGGCAGTCCCACGTCATTCCAAAGATGCATCGAGAGGGCAAAAAGTTGTGTAAGACAGCCTGCAATATCTTCAGTCATCCAAATTCCCCGCTTCTCTCAGTAGAAAATGGCTGGGGGAGGATGACACTAACTAAATCTACCCTTCTGCCCCAGCCGACGGCATGCAAACAGCATGCCGTCGGCTGGGGTAGCGGGCAAACAGCACCGGCAAACCGACCCGCTGGGAAAGGAATAGCACAGCATTCGCGCGATAGTCAGGCCACCTACGCCACACGGAGCCGGCTCTAACGTCACTCAGCTCACGCGCCACGGGGCAGCGGCCAGGAGGCACGGGACACCACGCCGCCCTGGTGCCCGTCATCACCAGCACAGAGACGGCTCACGCGGCATGGCAGCCCCACACAGTTCACCTGCCGCGGCCGGCGCCGGCTGACAGGTGGGGGTCCGGCTTCGGTTCCGCGCGGCCGAAACGTCAGCCAGGCGCGACGGCGCTGCCCGCTTCCGGCCGAGTCGAGGGGGATAAACGCCGCCTTCCGCCGGATGTCGGCCCCTCCGGCGCCACCCTCCGAAATCAGCGCGGCGGAAAAAGAAACGGCCACATGATCCCGCGCGCCGGACGACACGCAGGGGGCGCCACCGGCGGATCACGCAGATACATGGGAGGGAGAGGCGCTACTGGCTGATCACGCAGGTACACGGGAGGGAGAGGCGCTCCTGGCGGATCACGCAGATACGCGGGAGGG